GAAGAGAAGAGAAGAGAAGAGAAGAGATTAACTTCATCTTACTGGTTTCTTTATCATCACCAAATCCAAGGCACAATATTTCCCTTTCTTTTTCTTTCTTTTTCCATTTATAAACCAGGTTGACAACTAGTCCCTGGGTTAAGAACGCTTGGTTTACGGATGACCCATAGTTAAGAACGGAGCCTATTGTAGCAAGATTCAAGTTCAATACACCATGATTCGAGTTAAATACACAATGGTTTGAGTTCATTATACAATGCTACTTATACGGTATTATGCAATCATACTGTTCCAGCTTACATACAAATTCAACTTAAGGACAGACCTTGGGAACGGAACTCATTCTTAAACTGGGTTCTTAAACCTGTATTTCATGCAATGCCTGGCACACAGACTCACATCTACACTAGCATTTTGAGCTGGGGTGGAGACATCTTGAGGTTCAGCCCTTAATTCAGGGGTTGTATATTGCTTGTCATCCCTAGGGTTGTCTCTAAGTGGGGTGGGAAGGTGCAGAGAAAACGAAGTATCAGGAGAGTGACAAATATAGGAAATCAGTGTAAGCTAACTCAAAGTTGATGAATTTTAGACATCTCAGCCACCTTGTTTTATCAGCCAGCAGTTCTAAAAACAGTGACAAAATGGGAAGCCAAGGAAAAGCACATCAAAGCTGAGCAAAGCCAACCTTCCAGATGTTTGAAGCCTGCAGCTGCAAAGCGGTACCCCCCAAAAATCACCAGATTTCCAAACCTGTGCAAATGATAAAGCTTTTCCTGACAACTTCAAGCTTGGTTTGTATTTTGCTCTACCTTGGTGAAGAATCACAGCCTCCTGAAACATCCTCTTCCTAGCCCTGAAGTTGAAGAATGGATTTCCATGGACTTCCAGGAAAATCTTAGCAGACTTCCATGGCCATGGGCTTCCAAGAAAACCTTTCACAGTCATAAAGGCAGGAGTGTATAGTTCTGCCAAATCTTGGACCCAGAACCTTCAAAAGTTATTGCCAACCTTACGCTTTTAATATAAGAGGTTGAAATTCTTCTTTTGGGCAGGCAGCCTTTTTTGCTACCCTTGTTTTAATAAGACGTATCGTTAAAAAAAATGACTGTGCAGTTTCCTTCAGCCCCCAGAGCAGCCTTTTTTCTCACCCGCAAAACCAAAAAGGATTTTGCCACTTCAAAACGTGTCTTGGAAACGGAGAACCTACTAGGAAAAATCTCCAAAGAAAACCAACCCAATTGTTCAAGAGGGTCTAGGAAGTAGACGTGGGAGAGGAACTTCAGGCCTCCCGCCGGGCACTTGTCTTGGCTGACTTCCCCAAAGCAATTAGCCCAGCCCTTTGCTAATTTTCTGAAACAAAATGGATGTTTGGCACCTGGACATGGACATTTACAAGTCTCGGGTCAGCGGGTTGGGACTGCCACATGTAAAGCTGGTTGTATTAGGTGCCACACACTGGCAGATGCCCTGATCGATGCTTGAGGAGCATTGACTTGGGACTTCGAGGTAGTGAAATATAGGAAGATCCCTTAGGCAAAATCAAACTGTTGGTGCATAGCCCCCAGGGAGGGCTGTAGTAGTAGATTCCTGCAGTGGACGAGGGTTAGACTACATGATCTCAGAAGCACCTTCCAACCACCCCTTCTATGACATGGTAATGGCGGAAAGACACGGATGTGGCCAGAATGAATGTTCTCTTTTTTAAAGTCTTCCCTTAAAAATTCTCTCTCTCTCTTCATCCCTTTCCAGAAGCTCTCAGATGAGAAGCAGAGGGCTTACATGGTGGATCTGAAAGGATCACTCATCCTTTTGAAAATAAGCCAGGTTGCCCCAAATTAAGCTGAGCCTTGATCTGGATTTCGGGCACTGGTTGTCAACCCTGATCTTTCCCCAGTCTCCTCCAGACAGAGTGGCTCTCGAGGAAGAGAAATCCGATCTTTCTCAAATCAAATCAAATCTTTATTAGAGGCATAGCCCAGCATAACGGATCTTTCTCATCAGCTGGAATCCTTTGAAGTAGAAATGCCAAGGAGTGAACTTGGAGGCTTTCTGCACTCGACGCTGACATTCTGTAACAGAGTTTGCTCCCTTTCAAGGACCCCTGACAAGGTGAAGCTACCCAAACGTGGAAGAAACAAGGTGGTCCAGTCCTGGTCAATTTCAACGTTCTACCAAGCTGAAAATGAAATGGAACCAATTGCTCATTCTGGTCACTTCCATCTCTTCTCCTCTGTCATTTGCTAAGGGTCTCATGCAAGCCTCATCCAGGGTGACAATTTGATGTCTTTGTTAATTGCTCTGGATTAGGGCAGGGGGTGCTTTCCTTCTAGATCCCAATGCATGTGATCATCTCCTAGCTTGTTCACCATCTCCTGCTAAATCAGCAGATGTTCCCATCCAGCAACCCAACTGAAGAGATCTCTTGGAGGGTTGAATATAGGATCTTCTAGACAACGTTCACCCTAAAAGTATCTAGCAGTGGGAACTCCCTTCTTCAAGAAGAGAAACATGTTGAAATCTTCACCCAACACCACCACGCTGTTCAAAAAAAACCCAGCTGCTTCTTCTTGCCCGTGTTGCAGATTCCCACTGCAGCTCAGCGCATAAACAACGGTGCTTCGCAAGATCAACCCAACACTTGGCTTGTAACACACCTATGTGTGTGTGTGTGATTGTTACCCGCTCTTTACCATCAAAACGATCCTAAAGCAGAAGCGCAGAACGTAATAAAACCACCCCACATTCCAACAACACTGAAAAAAACAAAACAGCCCTGATTCAAGGAAACTTTTGATGAACGACCAAGTCTTGGGTTGTGGATAAGAACTGAAAGCAGCAGCTCCAGCTGCAAAGGAAACAGAGCTCCAAATTCAGAAATCTTGGTTTTTTGCACCATCCACGGGACCAGCAGTTGATCTTTTACAAATGTGTATCCAGAAATCAGGGGTTGCAACTTTTTTTCAGCTGAAAGCCCTGAACTCAGAAAAAAAGAGGGGGTGGCCTCATTTCATTATAACTAAATACAGCTAACATGGGGACCCTGCAGCCATAGATGTAACTATTCTTTCGCCTTCTATCACAATTTAGGAGCAAGTTCTGGAGATCTTTGAGAGCTGTATGCAACCTTCAGGGTGGACCCCTTTGATATAGAGGGGCGAAAGTGAGATGGGCGGTGACAAATTTGAAATATAAATAAAAAAATAAACAAAACCGGGCAGCCTTACAAATCCAATCCATTAAATATAAATAGAGAAACTATAAATAAAATAGCATTGTAAACACAAACACTGCTTACATTTGTCAGTCTGTTCGTCAGTTTTGCCCACTATATTCCGATTTAATCCAATTGGGCAGAAATTGGATTTTTCCATGAGAACCCTCCCTGGCATTTGTACGTGAGCCGCCCAGAGTTGTTTAAGATGGGCGGCCATATTAACCTTTTAGATAAATGCATAAAATAAATAGATGTGCTGAAATCAAGCAGCTAAGCTGGGGTTAGGGTGATTACTTGGATGGCAGAAGACCAAAGACACTGAGAGCTCTAGGCAAGACTAGGAAGTCCAAAAACATTCAGAAGAAGGGGATGGCAAACCACCTCCATATGATTACCAACCTGGACATTCCATGAAGTCACCAGAAGTTCTCAACTTGAAGCAAACCAATTTACCTACCCTTAAGCTACGGCCCCATGTCTTAATATGAGCCTAGGGCTACAAGCCAAATTCCTTAGGTGCTTCCGCTCACTGTCCTGTCCCAATGTTAAACTTTCACTCAACATGCCCACTTCTTCATCCCTTTTCCATAGCCTCCAAAGGACAGTTAAAGATGAGAAACAGGACCCCCTTGTCTCTTCCATGGAAAAGAGCTATTGGGAAGGAAATGAGAGAGAAGGCATGCAATATGATTACCAAGCCCCCTTGATATCTTCTTGTCAAAACAAGCAACGTGAAAGTTGCCCATTCACTCAATAGCTTCTCCCCTACCATCACCCAAAAGATCCAGTTTGTTCAATGCGCTTTCAACAATGTTTTCCTCTTGATCATTCCTACCCAAGAACCCACAGAGCATTCTCTATGATCGGGCTACTATTTTTCTTGGGGTGATAGAAGGATTTGCCCATCTCAGGAAAGGTTCCTGCTCCCTTTTAACACACAACACAATGAAACCTACAAGGAACCCCCCCCCCAACTTCAAACCCTTCAAAGAGACCCCACCTTAATGAACTCACTATCAATGAAGTTGGGAAATTCCTCGTCCAATTTCTAAGGTTCTGTTCTTACCCCTGACAAGTCTTAAAAACACCCTACTGAAATCTGTCTAGATCTTGCTTCTTTGAGCCTGCCAAGTTGCATGGGGCTGGACATCAGCGTAGAGTGGTGGTGTGAAAAAGAATAATAGCTCACCTGGTTTAGCACTATGCACTTAAGCCTGTTAAAGTAATTTACAGTATTGTGATGGCTCCGAACGGCCAATGAATCATCTAAAAGTCTTCCTGGGTAATAATTCCTAAAGAATCTAGATCAGTGTTCCTTGATCTCAGGTTTCTCACCACCTGGGCTGAGATGTTGTTTAGGAGCTAACTTACCAACTGATTCACCCATGATCATTTAGGCCTTTTCTCCCTTCCACTCCTTTCCCCAGCTGCTCCTCAATCCCTCACAGCTGGCAACCAGCTCTATCCAGATGGCTATTTTGGATTTTCTATCCTTGCCCCTGAGGTGCTGCAGAATACAGCCTGCCAAGTTCTAACCTGGTTGCTTTCAGGAAGCCAAAGGCTATCTAAAATCAGACTCATCCCATCTGGAAAATTTGTTCCACCATGAAACACCGAACTTAACAACAAGAAAGGTCACAACCAGCTTTCATCCCTTTTCCCAACTAAAATGAAAACCTATATTGTCCATGTGCCAGCAATATCTCAGATACAGTATTTGCCCCTAAAATATGGAAGAGAGAATCGGAAAGGGGAAACACTGTTTCCCTTGTCCTCTCTTTTAACAAGGTTTTCCTCTATGTGATGAAGATTAATTTTCTTCTAGAAGCCTTTCATGCTTTGCAAACAGGGAAGGGGGGAAAAAGCAGTATGGTTATATGCAACTAAACAAATCCAGAACAAAAAGACAGAGGGGAAAAAATCTGAATTCTGGATCATAGCTCTATCTGGACCAACCAACATAGTACGGCGACATATGCAATCTTTTGCGTTCTCCTGAACATTCATCAGGAGGAAGGGCCCAAAAAGCAGGAGATCTGGGTTGTGGGGAAGAGCTAAAAGGTTCAGAAATAGTTCTGGAGAACCTACAAAAGCTTGAACAAGCTTCTCTGTCCTTTTGGTTTGTCCTAATTGAGGTGCCCAACTGCAGATCTGAAATTTATTTTTCTCATTCATGGACCAACATGGTTATCTATGTTGGCCAGTTTTTCAACATTCCAACAGCTGCAACCGGGGACAATGTGAGAAGAGAGAAATTATGGGAGAAGAGTTTGTATGACATCCTTTCCAATCATTGTTTTTACTAATGACTGAAAAGTAGAAATCTGTAAATTTCTAAGCAAGGTTTAAGTTCTTCCCTAGTCCTGACTGACTTTTTTAGATGCTGATCCTTGAGCTGTATGATATAACACAACTGGAACAATCCAAGCCATTTTTCCTCCTCCAAGGAAGATGATGAAATCAGAGACACAATCCCTTCTCCACATTTCTAAATCACAGGACGGGCATTTCAAAAGTCCACCCAACCAACAACCCTTTTGGCATGACTCTGTGTTCCTTTGGGAGAAATGTCCTCCCGTCTCCAAACTAGCATTGCAGTTTGGTTGTTTACAAGGATCCAAAGTAAGCAAGAAACTCACAGAATGTAATTAGATATCGAGGGAAGCAATTGTTCAGGTGCACTGGGAGTCAAATTAAGAGCTTCAGGAACCTCGAGAGATGGCAAATTGAACTTCTGAGAATCTCCTACTTTAGGTGCCTGCAGAAAGATGGTTGTATCTCCAGTTTTGTTACCATCTTTGCATCTTAATCCTAAAGAAGGAGGAGTATGAGAGAAGCAACTGCAAATTTCCTCACTGGATCCTACATTTACCCCAGTTTCCTTGGAGTTACTAGCGTTAGTTTCATATTTCAATTTTAAGTTCCTCTTCCTGATCCTTCCCCTTGCATGTCATGTCTTCTAGAAGGCCATGGTCAAGACCATTCTCAATCCTGATCAATGTAAGCCAATTGAGAAGTCTTTGGGACAGACTTGTTGTTAAAAGTCTGCTTTGTTAAAACTAATGTCAATTCTCTACATCACCCAATCCCTCCTGGAAAGAACCAGATTTATATTTCAGGGATCCTGACACAAGTCAAACTATCTCAGCTTCGGTTCCCGTAATTGACATCTCTCCCGCTACAATGGAAAAGGTGTCAACTGAAAAGCACCCTACATGGTCAAACCCCCTCATACAGAATTGTCACTGAACAGATAGCATCCCATTGGGATAAAAATATTTTCTTTTTCTTTTACAAAGCTGGAAGCCTGGCCTGCAAGCGTTGTGTACCCACATACTTGCACAAGTTGCCACTTGATGTCACAATCACCAATGGTCTGGAGTGAACTAGGCCCTTCACTGGTAGGACACAAATGTTTGGGGAACTGGAATGCAACGGCTAAGTTTGCACATCCGAATGATGAATCGCAGGTTAAATTTTCTCCATGCCTTTGAATTATATTAATGATGTGCTTCTGGAAAGAAGATTTAACCGTTCCTTCTCAAGAGCTACTGGATCAGAGACTGGGTGAACCAAAATGGGAATAGATAAAAGATGGGAAATTAATGTTACAAATTAGAACCCAAGAAGGGAAGGCATCATTATTTGACAGAGAACCGAGTTGTATTATTTGGAACTAAACCTATGAACCAAATTAAGGACAGAAAGTACTTTTTTTTTTTTGGCAAAATGAAACAAAATAAAATGGGTGTGGGTATAAGTCAGATCTTCGGAGCTCCAGTTATATTATAGCTACCCTTTACGTGAAAAGGCAGGGCAGAGATACAAACAGAAAAAATAATCAAGTCCACATGGGGAAATTCTGATTTAATATTCGTGGCAGAAGCCTCAAAGAATATTTTGGCCCCTAGAAGGCCTCCCTTTGGCACTTAAAGAACGAATCCTACCACACTGGCCATGATAAATGTGTTCCTCTCGAAGAACTCAATCCATTGCGTGATAATAAATGCTAGTTTTCAAGGTCCCCCAGTGTTTGCCATTCCTGTATTCCTACTTTACTGGTGATGGTGACAGGAAACCCTAAAAACCAGCTATGAAAGAAGGAGAAAGTCTAATTCTCTTGCTTACCCTGGATAATTTGCTGCTGGAGAACTGGGAAATGAATAGACAGATCCCAGAAATGAGATGGCAAGAGTTTGATTTGACTTATAGAAAACAGCCAGCATGCATGGTTTTCTGGATCCTTAGTTTTGCAGCTAGGGAGCAAATCACAGGAGACGGTGTTTCCCAACAAGCTCTGTTGTTCGTGGTTGGACTGGATGCTTTTTTGAGCCGATGAGGCTTTGGGGTTTTCTTCTGGAGGCTTTCACCGTCCTGCTCCAGCCCCAAAGTGGCCCCAGCTTGATCAGCTCCAGAATCGTGGCCCGCAGCCCACGTTTTTGACATCTGTCAGTGCGTCAACAAGGAGACGAGGGCAATCTGTCTGCAAAAAGTCTCTGCAGAAACAGAACAGATCAAGCCGCATCTTAAAAACCCATCTGGCGTGGGGGTTAAGGTGCCAGATAGAAATCAGGAGAGCTATGAGTTTTAGACCTCCCTTAAGCACAGAGGCCAGCTGGGTGACCTTGGTCAGTCCTTCCTTCTCAGCCCAACTGACAGAGTCCTGGTCGCGGAGAAGATAGGAGGGAGGGGTATTTTGTACACCACCTGGAGTTGTACAAAACAAAGGTGGGATGTAAGTCTGATAAAATAAATGACCTCCATTTGATGGGGAGTGGGGAAGCTGAACCTAGGGAGACAACGAAGCAACAAAGCATATTTCCAAAACCATCTTCTGCAATCAAAAAGCCCCCCCTTCTTTGCAGGCCACCCACTGGCTATAAGCACCATCAAATCAAATGAACTAGCCATCAACAACAAAGGATCAAGACAATGGCTAGCTGACATCCAGAGGGAAATGTGATGACTAGAAGAAGAGAGAGCGGATCCCCAGACTATAGGAAACTGACAGTGACTTTCATCTCATTCTTGTGTCCTCCTCGTCCTGGAAAACTGCAGGACAGAGAGCTGAATGAAGAGTTCCAGATCGTATCTCATTTTGATTTTCTCCTTTCGCCAATCTCTTCTGAAATTTGAGAAGAGCCTCTCAGGGAGATGAACGTGAGAGCATGGATAGTAGAAGAGACCAACAGTGGTTGCTTTTTCATCTTATTGCTCATTTAATAGGGGGGCAGCAAAAAAACAAGGTCATCATCCTCATCAAAGTTCTGACGTTCAGAGTCTTCCCTTCTCGGATTAGATCTTCTTCCCTGGCTGAAAAAACGATCTAATTATGGGTCGATATTGCACTGTTTCACTGAATGCACCCAGGCCCCAGTTGGAAGGGTGGCCGTACTAATTGCTACCCAACTGAAGGTAATCCATACCATAATAGTGCCATTCAGGGCAAGGATGATAGTAAGAACCTCAGAAGATGGAGCATGGAATGGAGGCTACAAAAAGGGTTCAGTAAGAAAAGGGGGCATTTAAAGAGGCAACTTCCACCTTTTAAACAGGGCTGTTTAGTGAGAAAAGCAAAGAGTTCCAGTGCACACACGTGTGCGTGCACACCCTCTCACATCCACTTCTGAGAATTTAATAAGCACTGCCCACATTGTTTTGCAAATGTACATTCTGAACAGTGAGGACTAGGCGCTTGGTACTGAAAGCCTGTTTCTTAGCATAAAATACCAAATTCTGTGCCTGAGACCCTGAAGCTCTCAGCACTTTGTGACGGTAACAGGGACCCTACTTTGGGGTTGGGAGGCAGGAATCAGGCCCCAGTCACAGCTGAATACAGGAAGGCTGTCCTTAAATCATGAAGATGGATAAGAATTCAAAGTTATTTAATTCCCTTGGCTTCTATAAAAATTCACTCCTAAACATCCACACCCACCACCGACCGCGTTCACCAGTCTGCCCGGTCTGGTGTCACCAATAAACAGGGTCATCCCTTTCCCACTGGATAAATGATATATTCTCAGTGGAGATGAGAGGACTTTGGGTATATGCATCATGCAGCCAAATTAGAGGTGAAGCAGGTTTCCAGATTAAGAGCAACGCAGATCCCACGCTTCTCCTGAGATGTCAGATCGCTGCGCAGATAGCGCCGGTTGCTGCATTCACCAAGTTGGAAGTTCACTGGAGTAACCAGGGGCTCCCTGGAGCGTTGCCACAAATGTTCCACTGGGCCAGGCTGTCTGCCAAGTGCTTCACACCTCACGTCAGCTGCTATTTCGACCCAATGCGAGCAACAGCCGGACTGAAAATATAGAGCTACGCTGCTGGCTCGCTGGTATGGAAAAGTTTTTTTTTTTTTAAGTGTGTGTGCCTGTAGAAGAGGGGAGCCAATAGCGGGTGAATCCTGAATCCAGGTCTTTGCATTCAACGGCACCCAGTTTCAGCAGCCTGGGGAGAAGAGGGGTGAATTCTGCACTGCTGAAAGAGATCCCTGCCAAGCTCAGATGAAACTTACAAAGCGTTTAGTTTCATCCTTCACAAACTGAGTCCGGGGTGCAGCGTGGCCTGCCGCTGGTGAAAAGGAGCAGCTGGTACCCCCTCTGAGAGGTCTGGGGTGCTAAAACGCCTGGGTGGGCCAGGGATGGTGCGTGAGCCCTACAACGTGTTGGTGTCCCCTGGCGCTGACATGCAGCAAGCGCTGGAGCGCCCAACTTGAGCAGATGCTGGTTTGGCAAGAACGCCGGCCAGGTACCCTTCCCGCACTCCCGCAATCGCGAACCGCCGCCCCCGTGCGCCCCCAGCCAGCCCCCAGCGGCGGATTACGAGCTCGACCCGAGCGAAGGCACAAGCACATCACGTCGCTCCTTTACACGTCGGCCTCCCGCCTACTCTCGCGCCAACCTGCGAACACCTGGCAGCGTTCCTTTGCTCCCCCAAGAGCCGAGCCGGACCTTGTCCTTCACA